TCGGTAATATGGTTCGGTATCTGGGGCCTCCTTAACTCTTTTGAGGAGGTCACTATAAATAGGGTCTTGCGCATACGCCTGTCTTACTCTCTCCTGCAGGTCACTCCCTATATCCAGATAGTGAATTATGGCTCCAAAGTAGTCTGATCTCCTACTTAAAACATCCGCAACGACATTGTACTTGCCTTTGACAAGCTTGAGCTCGAAGTCATATTGGTCTATTTTAGCGGCCCACCTAGTCAACTTAGGTGTCATTTTGGCCTGTGTCTTCAGCCACCTAAGAGTCTCCTGGTCTGAATACACCTTGAAATACCTCCCAAGCAGGTAATGCTTCCAGTGCTCTAAGGTCTGCCTTAGAGCATAGAGTTTTCTCTCGTATGTCGAGGTAGCTACATTTTCTGAGGGCATCCTCGCTGACATGAACTCTACGGGTCTGTAGCCATTGTCGTCGTCTTGCTGTAACACAACGCCTATACCATATTGACTCGCGTCCGTGGTGACGACAAATGGAAAGGACGGATCTGCTACTTCGAGGACAGGATACTCTATTAATGCGCGCTTTAGTTTCTTTAGCGCAGACGCACAATCTTTATCTCACTGCCAGATTGCCTCTTTCTTGAGCAACCTGCGAAGGGGAGCCGCGATAGTCGAGAAGTTCCTCACGAACTTCCTATAGTAGTTAGCTAGGCCTAGAAACGACCGCAACTCAGTCAACGTGCGAGGCGTCGGCCAATCTCTAATCGCCACTATCTTGTTGTCCTCAGGCTTAATACCATCTCCGTCTAGAACGTGGCTCAAGTACAAGTCTTGTGTCTTGGCCCACTCACACTTCTTTGCATTGATCTTGAAGTTAGCCTCTCTCAACTTCTCCAAGACCTGCTTCAAATGACCCTCATGCTCTTGGAAGGTCTTACTGAATACTAATATATCATCTAGATAAAGTACAACAAATCTATCTAGCCATGGCCTAAACAAATCGTTCATATAGCGCTGGAACGTGGCAGGCGCATTGGCTAGTCCAAAGGGCATCACTATGAACTCATAGTGCCCATATCTAGTCCAGAACGCAGTCTTGTACTGGTCATCATGATGAACCTCTATCTGATGATACCCGAGCTTCAGATCCATCTTCGAAAAATATCTGCAGCCCTGCACTCGATCTAGGAGATCGTTTATCCTAGGCAGTGGCCCAACGTTCTTTACTGTGATCGCTTTTAGACCCCTATAGTCTATGCACATCCGTAACTCTCCTTCCTTTTTGGGGACAAACAAGACTGATGCTTCAAAACGAGATGAACTGGGCCTAATCCAACCCTTTTCGAGGAGCTCGTCCAACTGCTTACGCAACTCCTCTAACTCCCTTGGGGACATCCTGTAGACTGCTCCCTTAGGAGTCCTACTGCCAGGCTCTATCTCTATACGATGCTGGATCGGCCGCGGCCAGCAACTTGGCAATGGTTGGGTCTATGGGTGTGTCCTCCTTAGGCTCAGTGACAGGCTGTACATAAGCTACGAAGACCTATTCCTCTAACTGATCTTTTTTAACTAATCGCGCAAACGTTGGAGCAGTGTCGTCCCCCGTACGTCGTACGGGGGGTCTCCATACGGCCCGTGCGTACGGACGAACGGACGGTCATACGGGCGTACGGACGGCGGCCGTACGACGGTGATTTGGGGGCCAAAAAAAAAAAA